CTGAACCAGACACGTTAGTAACTGACATTTCCAGCTGTAAATTTCTCCCCTCTTCTTGGCAGATTTGGTAGAGTTCATACCCATGATGTATGTAAACTTCTGACCACAACAAAACGATCAGCGACAAGTCAGAAAATCTGATTACTGAAACCAAAACAAGTCCTTTGATCTCCAGTTAGCCTGGATCCATTAACATGAGCATCAGAACGTACAGTTTATTTATTTATGGGTGTCTATCAGCAAAAGAACAGATGCATAAATAATCAGAAGTAGATCAAACCACAGTAGCTGTTCTCTAGCACGGTCTAGCTCTTGAAGAAAACACAGCCACGTGTTTTAGATGACGTTCACCACAACGAACAGGAAGTCTCTCTCCAGCACTAAACTGTTAGAAACATGAGAAGAAGCCTGATGCTTATTGGGAACAGATTTCTTAGTCAGATGACGGATGAATTTGTTTTCCCTAGATTTGTTCCAGCATGTTTAGCATGAGCTGGGCCAAGACCACCACAGTGAATACAGTCCCAGCAGTGAGGCAGGGAGGTGGGACTGTGACGACCTGTGGCTGGATGAAGTGTTGGGCGAATGTTTCTTGATATCTTGATAAACGTCTTTAGATAAATTACTGGATGACAAGATGACTCCAGAATTTTCAAAAAAGATTGTCACTGCCAAAAGTACCATAGGAAGAAAATAGTTTAAACTGAGACTGAATCCAACAGAACACCGTTAGAGTATTTTAAAGAGAAAGGCAGAGCAACAAGGAGCAGCTGAGAGGACTGTCAAACATTGAAGCCAACACGCTGAGTAATTAAAAAAATCACGATTTTTGTTGCCGTTTTGTCTGTTTTTAATATAATAAATTAAATGTTTTAATAAAATATTTAAAAAAAAAATTAAAAACTTCAGTTTTATAGATTAAATGTGACCTTGCTGTAAGAATATTGATATTACATGTGTTGCCTTCCAGCTAGTGCCTTGGAGGTTGTTTTGTTTTTTAATTTTCTATGTATATCCCATCCAAAGGGCACTTCAAATAAAGCAACAAAGAATCCAGATGATGAACAAACTCATATATTGCTCGTGTTTTTATTTTAGCATAAAACCCAATCGCCCAAAGTTTGACTTAAACATTCAACAGTGTAGTGATGCTACACAAGTGGACTTAATGCTTTTTCCACTCTGATGAATGAAGGTGAACAGTTTTCTCAGTTTCTGGTAAAATTATGCTTTTTGTAAAGTCAGTCATCACTCCGAACATCCAGAGAGGAAAGTGGTTTATATTTACAGCTTATTGGTCCGAGACGTCGTGTATGAAGATTATTCCATCATAGAAGTTCTGAGACCTGCTTAAGTTCCCAGGTAAGTCCC